GGGCTGTTGGCCTATGTGGTGTGCGTCTTATTGGGATGGCTATTATTACTCTGCCCCTCCTGCGGCTGTCACAGATGTATGTGAAATTCCGCACCCAGAAAAATGGGGAAAATGGGGAGGAGAAACTAAATGAACGAAACCCCAATCCTTTGGGCCTCTGTTTTGTTTCTTCCACCTATCGGTCCCTGGTACGGTTTGCCCAAGTCCAGGTGATGCACCCGGGTTTGTCGCCCGCCTCCACTCCACTCTCTGTCTACTGGGACCCCAAAAGCCGACGCGCTAAGCTTGTTGATGGCTCTGCCATTGAGAAGTTTATGCGTCGCCTGGCTGCAGCGGTGTACAATTTGCACCCACTCCATGATAAAGCTGACCTCAGCAAGTGGAGCTCGCACTCCCTTCGTGTTGGTGCCTGCGTCATTCTGCACATCATGGGATTTTCTGACCGTGACATCCAATGGATCCTCCGTTGGAAATCCATGTCATTTGTCATGTATTTCCGCAATGTGGCCATTCTATCTAGACGGCAAAACGCGGCCTTTGACCGACTCCAGGCTTTGCCTCGGCTGTAATTTAAACTGGGTCTATACGTTTATTCCTGATCTCCCACGGACTATGTCGTCGTGGGCAACGAGTTTTTCGTTTGTTTGTGTTTGGGACTTGCCCGGTATCTTGCCGCTCGCCCTGCCATGCTTACGGTTTGTCATTGCGACGACGCGTAACGCGATTGGGCTGGAAGGCCGCTTTCGCCTCACGTTTGCTGCCGCTCGTCGCCTGCAACAGGCAGCCTGTGACCACCTTCACGGCCTCCGTACGGTTGTACCGCGGGTCTGCGTCGTGCAGGGTGGATTGGACAAGGTCAACCGTGGCATTCATTACATTCTGAGTTGCCCGAGCTGCCCCCTTTTCGCACCGAAGTGTGTTGTTGGCCAATGCCTCTTTGGCTGCCTTCCTGGGAGTCGCCATCCGTGCACGACGAGCTCCCGCGTCGTACCCGGGTGCCGTCTCGTTGTACTTGGGATTGGCAAGCTTGAACTTGCCCTCCAGTTCTGCCAACTGCATCTCAGTCAAGCCGAGTTTCTCCATGAACATGGCTCGATGCTCATCGCTGAGGTTTCCGAGCGGCAACCGTTTGCGCCACTGGGAGTAGGTACTCTCCACCGCTGCGAACTTGCTCCCCAATGCCGCTGCCAGCAGACCAAGTGTCGCCTCCAAACCGTACTCCAAGTCCACTATATGGGCTTCCAACTGGGCTTGATTCATCTTGCTACGGTTTTTCCTTCCTGGATCACCTGTGAAACAGCTAGGACAGTTCGGGTGAGACGCTTTCCGCTCTTGCAATCACTTTCCACCATTGAGCAGCGTTATTGCGTTACTACTTACCTATTTCGTACAGATTCTAACTGTTCTCGAGTTATGCGCGTGTAAACTTTCCCTCCTGGGGTTTCCACGGTACAAACTGTGATTTACACGATGCAGCGTTTCTTTCGCTGCGCAAACGGTTGGTCGCTTCACGACCTGTCCGTTTGTATTCCTTGACTGGGGATGCCCGCGTGCAATTTCCCACGGCATTCCCGCCCCCCCCTTTTTTTCCAGCTGTGCTGGCTGGCCGCCTCCAGTAACTATGGCTCGATTCTTGCTCTTTGAGCAGCGTCGGCTGCTATTGGCTCTAAAAGCTAGTAGCACTAATTTGGTTACCCCAATTCCCTGAGGGGATTGGGGGACTATCTCCTTAGCATTCACCTACCAAGGCAAATACTTGTGCAGGTGTTTTACTAGCTGCATAGTTACTGTTGCCCCCAGCCCCAGCTGAGGCGGTGGCAGGGAATCTTCGATTCTTGAAGCCAAGACTCCAAGCCAGCAGGGCATAATGTCTGCTGGAGTGACCAGTCTGGCCCGCCACCCTGTATGTGGCTGAAGGAGCCAGCAATCAACCCAAAGCAGCCCACTGTTTTGGTTTCCTGATTGCTGGATGCCACCAACATGCTTTTGGACCATGGAATTTTGCTTTTGCCCACCCTCACCTCCCTTCTAAAAGCTAGTAGCACTAATTTGGTTACCCCAATTCCCTGAGGGGATTGGGGGACTATCTCCTTAGCATTCACCTACCAAGGCAAATACTTGTGCAGGTGTTTTACTAGCTGCATAGTTACTGTTGCCCCCAGCCCCAGCTGAGGCGGTGGCAGGGAATCTTCGATTCCGTCCGGTTCCATTGACGTTCTAGTACCGGTACAGGTATAAAGTCGGTTTTGGTCCATCCCTTTGAGACATCAGCGATACTATAGCAAAAACAGTACAATATCGGAAACCTTCTGTCTCACTCTCTATTTTCTGAGTTAACGGGACTCAATAATGGACCAAAATATTTAACTATCTCACAAAAAGTATAACGAAAATGAAATGCACGTTTAACATAGGGTACGTGATGTTAAATCATGTGGTCAGTATGGGTAACATGCTATGAGTCAATGGTACTTGAGGTCGATTTCGTATTAATCTACTTATGGGTCAATCGGACATTGAGACAGTCATTTGCTTATAGACGGTTTTGGTCCATTTTTGGGCTGTAGCGCTGGTACACTTTCTACGTGTCTCACCCACTTCCTTTATTAAACTCGTACCTGGCAAGTTGGCAACCACCCATCTAAGAATACCTACCGGTAAATCGAAGCAGCTCTGCAGTCTGTCTTGCCTCGTCACTCGTCACTCGTCACTCGTCACTCGTCAATCTTCACTCTTCATCAGGCACTCGAGCCATCAAGGGCACTGAAGAACAGAGTTTGTTTCTGTGAGGAAGGTTCTTTTCGAGTAAAGCATTTTTATTCCTTACTGCTTCAACAGTGTGTTTTAGATAAGAGTCTAAAAGGAGTACTACAGAGGCCTCACAAAAGAAAAGAATTGGGAACACGAACACACGAACATCGTTTTCATCATCTATCTCTTTTCATCCGACATCCAGCATGCATCAAATGCTCCTGCATCCGAAACAGTCATGGTTGCTGCAAGGTTGCTTGCTTCTTTGAAGTTGACGGTTGACGGGAGGTGGGACGGGTTTCAGTGGGCCTCAAGACTCAAGCAAGCAGAGAACTCCAACAACCCTCATAAACGGTGACAAAACCATAAAAGCATAAAACCATAATCCATCCTTTCCGAACCAAACCAACCATGACAATGCTATCCATAACAACAGCCACAAGCAAACCCCTCAATAATAACAGCAAGACGTCTAAGATTGAATGCCCCGCAACAATGGCTCTAACTTCTCTCATTGGCATTAAGCGTGATGCTACCTCTCTGATGCTACCCTTGGTCGGTGATCAGGCTTCGCATTCAACTCTCAGTGATGGCGTGGACTTCCCCAGCATCGAATGGCTCCACGATGACGATCAAGCAGCCGCCACACAGCAAGATGCGATGACTCGCGGCGTCAATCAATGCCTGCAAGAAGCCTTTCGCCTGGCACAAAGTTTTGATACATGTACTACTGTGTCCATTGAACCGACAGACCGCCCCAAGAAGCGCCGTCGACTTGGCAGCAACACCACTACTGGAATGTTGCGCTCTAATGCGGTCCCTTGCAGCTTGGCTTCCTTGGCAGCAGCATCGAAATCCGATTCAGACGAGCTGTTCCCGTCCACACTAAAGCCACTCTTGCCACTGTCACTTCCCACCACCCATGAAAAGCTTTCGCCACTTGCCCATGAAAAACTCTTGCCCGCACTCCTGTTTCGCGATTCTACTAGTATTCTGACGTTGAAGGAGTGTCCTTTTCCCAAGTCTTTCAAGTCTGCATCTCGCACATTGTCGTTGAACTGCAGAGTCTCTCCTCTGGCATAACCAAGCGAGGAGACTTACTTGGGGGTTCCGTTTCATTTTGCTGGCTTGTCAACGAGAACGATCGATGATGAAGATATGGCGAACTTTTCCTGCTGCACTGCCAAACAACTTTTTGCACATATTTCCTTGCCTGCCGCCGCCAGTCTACATGTACATACTCAGCTGGCTGGCGGACTGGCGCTCAAGTTGTTGGCGTTTGCGAATCACCAACCCACGGCAAACTCTTGTCTATGCATATACGATACTACTCCTCTTCTGCCACACCTTGTATATATTCAGTGGCGAGGATTACAAAAAGACAAGAGAGCCAAACAGCAGCAGGATTTTGAATCCACCATCGTCCTCATTCCCGTCTTCTTACGAACCGGGGCTACTCTATTCGTTTCTGGGCAGCCATTAGATTTTACCATTACTAATAACTACTCTAGCTCATTATTCAATCGCATACAAACACACATCATCATCAGCATTAGAACAACCCGTTCTGCAATCCCAAGTCCTCGGCTTCGCCTTTGTGTGGGCCCCGTGTTGCATCACACTACTGTAGCCATTGTCCTCATTGCCCAATGGGTCCACCTGGTCAAGCCAATGCTATCTATGAACCCCCACCAGTGAATACGGTAGCCCAGGTCAGAAATTTGAGAGAGCCACGACGCCACGACTGCAGCATCAAGCACGGGGATGAGCTGAACTCCATCACTATCGCGTTTTCAAGCTGAGGCCCTTCGTTGCCACCTTGTACAATGATTTTTTACCAGCGCCCAGTGAATTCTGTTCCAGTCGGTCCCGCCGAACCAAAGCTACCGCGCAGCTCACCAATCACAAGGGAAGAAGAACTCTCGGTTCCTCGAGCGGAAGCATTCCGGTTGCTTCCTTTCAGCGTTTTTCACCGCTCACGACCGCGAGGAGACCTGGCTGCAGGTGGCCGAGAATACAATGGAGTAGAGTCAAAGCAAAGTGAGTCAAAGCCTCAAAGGTCAGCAGCTTTGGCTGTCCGCAGAAGTGGAAGTAGGAACTGACTGCGGAATAGGCCTGCTTCTTGTGCCCTTTCCAAAGCCACATGCCAGTTCATAATACCAATACGCTGAGTCTTTTGCTTCCAACCATACCGGTACGGGTCAAAATTGAAGCATCAAAGGTAACGCAGCAACCAACAGCTACCAGCAGCAGCAATGCACACACCCATGTTCACCGGACAGCCAGCGTCCATCTAATTTCTGGTTGTCGCTTCTATTGTCGCAAGTGTCGCAGGAATTGGAAGCTGGTTGCAGGCTCAAAGAACACTCTCCACTTTCAGGCTTCAGGCCTTGTGAGCTGTTCAAGTCGGTCGTGCTTGCGGGCTTTGCCAGTGAACTGAAATGTTCCGAAATCTGAAATCATGCATAACCCCTCGGCCCCAATATAACTTACTTTGACTACTAACCTCACCATTGGCCCTGAAAGGTCGCATCGAGCTTTAAGGTATCGTCTCCATACCAATAGATCCAACATGAATGCGTTTGTGCTGCTTTACAGCGCCACTCGAGGTCTTTCCTCTCTCACTGCAAAGCAAGAAAGGTTGATCATTCAAAACCAGAGGCAATGTCCTCCGTCAAAGACCTTCGAACATTAAAACCAGCCATGTCACAAGCAAGCCAAAAGCCTGCGACGGCAGCGCTCAACAGATTGCTTTTGTCCGACCGTGCTTTGATGATTTCAGCGAACCTGCAATGGTTAGACGAGCAACCTGGATTGGTTGAGGACGAACACACGGAGGACGATGATGAATACTTTCCGAGTATCGGATTCCCCCAAGAGATGATCGAGAGTTTCTTGGGCGGTACCGATCCGATCCCTGGTATACTCGAGAAGACGCCAGCGCATGGTACTTTCGACCGTCCTCGTTGCTTGGTTCGTTCCCAGGCAAATCGATCCTTGCTCTCTATGAACCGCTCTGACGGACCTTCAGTGCCAGCAGAGTGCCGCTATCAACCCACCAGCCTTGCCAGCAGCGGTCCACAACAAGAGAAGGGCCTCCCCAGTTGTAAAGACAAAGCCGTCAGCACCCCGCAACCCAACCAAATGACACTTGTATCTTTGGTGGCAAATATGTGGGATTCACGGTTGAGGTGACTCGGAATCGAATAGTAGCGGCACTTTTACGGGACGGTAGCAGCGCAGAGTACGGTAGTTTCAACAAGCAAAGCATCAGACCGTAGCATGCTAAAGTTACTCATCTCCACTGATAGAAACAACCTTGTGGTCAGGGAACAGGAGTTTGCAAGTGATTGCATTGGGAAGGGAATTCCAGCACCCATCGTAGCTACCGTATAGGGCGCTGTCCAACAGGATGGTGTTGGGCTGGAAGGCTGAATAGACGGGCAACCACTAACTTTGTAGAGACCATTTTCTAGAGAAAGGATCCTGTCCTCTGGAAGCACCTTTCGAATGCCTGCAGCAACACACGTGGTGTTCATTGGAAAAGCTGGATTGCCCATTCTGCAGCGGAGGAGTGGATCTGAGAGCTCCTTGTATCGTTTCAGGACGGGTTGGTCCCATGTCTTTCCAGATGCACGTAACTTTTCATGGAGCCGTCAGCATCCCACAACAACCGAACCAATTAATTGTCAATTGTATCTTTGAGGAGAATCAAAATCGAAACAGTAGATGCACTTGTACGGTAAGCGCGCAATTCAGGTAGTTTCAAAGCAAAGCATCAGACGGTAGCATTCTAATGTTAAACAAGTTTCAGGGCAGGTACAGGTGGTGTGGTTCTATAGCAGGGGACGCACTTGATCAAGAAATACATGTAGCCTCCACTCCTCCAAGCAGTTCTCAACGACGCAAGTTCCAAACTCAGTTTGAATAGATGTGCAAACACAACTTTGTAAGAGATCATTGTCCAGAGAAAGGGCCATGTCCTCTGCTGCAACAACACACATGATGTTCATTGGAAGCGCTGAACAGACCATTCCGCTGCGAAGGAGTGGATCTGAGAGCTCCTTGTATCGTTTTCATGGACGGGTTGGTCCCATGTCTTCCCAGAGGCACAAAACTTTTTTGGGGGCCGTCAGCATCCCGCAACCGAACCAAATGACACTTGTATCTATGAGGAGAATAAAATCGAAATAGTAGAGGCACTCGTGCCGTACTAGTACCATAGCAGTACACGGTAGTTTCAAAGCAAAGCATCAGACTGTAGCATTATAAAACAAGTTAATCAAAGGTTTCAGGGCAGGTCCAGGTGGTATGGCTCTTACAGCAGGGATCTAAGTTCTCGATACATCAAGACATACATGTAGCCCCTACTCCTCCAAGCAGTTCTCAACGACGCAAGTTCCAAACTCTTGTTTGATCTGTTCAACCACTGCTTCTGCCTTTTTAGGGACTTGGATCAGATCAGCTGCCATTGATTCATAGCTGAAAGGAACCTCGATCAAATGAACTCCTTCAGAATTCATTGCTGTCTCAAGGATGGCAGCAAATTCTTCTGCTTTGGCGACACGGTAGCCTTGAGCCCCATAAGCTTTGGCAATCTCAACGAAATCAGGGTTCTGCAAGTCCAAGCCCCAATTTTCGAAGCCAGCCAGCCCTTGCTTCCATTTGATCATGCCAAAGGCGTTGTCGTTTAAAATGATATGGACGGAGCTGATCTTGTATTGGATACAAGTGGCGAGTTCTGGAAGGTTCATTTGTGCACCCCCTATACAGTCACAGGTAAGACGAAGAAAGTGAGACCATCAATGGCATGCCCACAGCTTCACTCCAGTCTGGCAATACTCACCATCTCCACTGATAGAAACAACCTTGCGGTCAGGGAACAGGAGTTTGCAAGCAATTGCATTGGGGATTCCAGCGCCCATCGTAGCTAGGGCGTTGTCCAACAGTATGGTGTTGGGCTGGAAGGCTTGGAATAGACGGGCAAACACTACTTTGTAGAGTCCATTGTCTAGCGAAAGTATCCCGTCCTCGGGAAGCACCTTTCGAATGTCTGCAACAACACGCGTGACGTTCATTGGAAAAGCTGAATCGTCCATTCCGGTGCGAAGGAGTGGATCTGAGAGCTCCTTGTATCGTTTCAGGATGGGTTGGTCCCACTTCTTCCCAGAGGCGCGCAGCTTTTCATGGATTTGCCACACGGCGTTGGCAACGTCTCCAACCACTTGGGCAGAAGGACTGTAGACGTTGTCAACGTTGGCTTGGGAGAAACCGACATGAATCACTTTGCGTGTTCCCTCTGGTGTCATGATAATAGGGGGCTTTTCACTTTCATCGTGACCACAAATCAAAAGAACATCAGCAAAATCAATGCCATAGTGGCAGTAATCTTTGTTGGATAGGGCAGTGACACCTAGACAAAGAGGGCTGCGTTCGTCCAGCACCCCCTTTCCCATCTGAGTGGAACACCAGAAAATTCCCATTTCTTCTACAAAGGCACGCAAAGCTCGAATGGCCCGTTGGCGGTTGGCGGCTGCTCCAATGATGACTACTGGGTTCTTGGCGCTGAGCAAGATCTCCGTTGCCCTGTCAATGGCCTTTGGCTCTGCGATGGGCCGACGAAAATCCAACGTTTCGAAGATACGAGAGGCAGTTTCTTCAGCAGCCACGTCCTCTGCCAACTCAATATGCACAGGCCCTGGCTTTTCTGCCACTGATTGGGACAAGGCTCGTCGTACCGAGGCAGCCAACATATTGCCTGAAGGGATCGACTTGGTATACTTTGTGATGGGACGCATCATCTCCACCACATTGATAATTTGAAAGTCAGCTTGCTTGGAATTTTTGATGGGCTTTTGCCCAGTGATGAAAAGACAGGGGAATCCGCCGAGAAAGGCAAAAGCAGCCGAGGTAGTAAAGTTGGTGGCACCTGGTCCCAAAGTTGAAAGAGCCACTCCTGGTTGCCCAGTGAGTCTACCGACAGTTGCTGCCATGAACCCAGCAGCTTGCTCGTGACGGACAAGAATGAGCTTAATCTGGTCTGCACGATGGCGCATAGACTCTGTGAAGTCCAAATTTTCCTCTTCATACAAGATGCAACGAATGAATGAGAAAAGATGCTTGTCAGGAAAGGACCAAAATCATTGCCAAAGGAAACATCCAGGCGTACGTACCTCCAGGGATCCCAAAGACGAACTTGACCCCTTCACTTATGAGGATATCAACAAAGAGATCGCTGGTCTTGATGGTCGTCATGGTGGCTTCGATGTTTTTCTTTGAGAGTCTTATTTGAGAGAAAAGAAAAAAAGTGAGGATCTTTCATAATCGCGTTTTCAAAGCTTGGTTTGTATCGCGTTGCATGGGGCTGCCCAAGAACTCTCCAAAGTGCGGGAAAAGATTACTTTTAGTCCTTCAATGAAATGAAGTGTCCAATCAACAAATAGTAAATTAGACTTTTTATGCCAAGTATCCATGACTGAGAAAGAGAAGATACTAGAAAATCACCGATTACCCGCATCTATGGAGATTAGTCTTCTTATTGCGGAACAACAAAGATCAGTTCAGCAATCCGACATCTCCGTCAGATCCGAAGATGCGTGGGCAATATGCAGCCGTAGTTTATTCAGGGAAGAAGCCTCATAAAATGCACCAACATCAGAGAGCGTCGACACAAGGCTTCTGGATTTCATTGCATTGATTGGATCTGATCTGATCTAATCACTTCGATCATAATGCCAACCGGTCGCTTTTTTTCATCGATTGCCAGCATCATGAGCAACTTCAGCATCCAAAAGGGCGGCACGATGCCCTTCTACTTGGGAGGAAAGGCCATGAAACCCAACTCTGGTCTCAAAGTAATCAACAAATACACCCAAGAAGAATTTTGCACCGTTCCTCTCGCGGATGAGTCTCATGTCGAAGAAGCCACCGCCATTGCCGCTACGGAAGGAGCCAAGAAGATGAAAGCACTTCCTCCCTACGTTCGGCAAGAAATTTTAATGAATGTCGCCGCCGAGGCCACGAAACGACGTGATGAGTTTGCCTATTATCTGGCCATTGAAGCGGGAAAACCCATTGCAGATAGCAGGGGTGAAGCCGACCGCCTGATTCAAACCTTTCAGCTGGCTGCTGAAGAAGCAACTCGCATTGGTGGAGAGTACTCGAGTCTCGAGATAGCTCCTCGGGCGAAGGGATACTCTTCCATTACCAAGCGTGTGCCCATCGGGCCAGTCTCACTCATATCTCCATTCAATTTGTGAGTGTGCTGCCGTTATTGTTGTTGTTGTTGGGCAAATTGCATCATTGGAAACTCACTTGCATGAGAGTGTTGCTAACCAACTTTGAACCTGTTTCCTCCAAAGCCCGCTGAACTTGGCAGCACACAAGATTGCTCCTGCTATTGCTGCTGGCTGTCCCTTTGTGTTGAAACCAGCTTCCATGACGCCTCTCGGAGCTCTCTTGTTGGGGGAAATCCTGGCTGCTGATCCGCAAATGCCACCCGAAGGCTTTAGCATTCTCCCCTGCAGCCGACAGGCGGGGAACATACTCACGACAGATGAACGCTACAAGCTCATGAGTTTTACGGGATCTCCCGAAGTCGGATTCGCCCTCAAGGCCAAAGCTGGCAAAAAGCCTGTTATTCTAGAACTGGGTGGTAACGCCTTTTGTCTGATTGATGATGATGATGTGGGCATGGCCACCATTGTTGAGGAGGTCGTGCATGGAGCGTTTTATCAGTCTGGGCAGAGTTGCATTAGCATCCAGAGACTGCTGGTGAATGATGGAATCTATGACCAGTTCAAAGCTGCTCTCGTCGAGAAGGTAAAAAGTCTCAAGATGGGTGATCCCATGAACGAAGATACCTTCATTGGCCCATTGATCAATAGCGGAGCTGCAGATAAGGTTGAGTCATGGGTGAAAGAAGCTGTGGACAAAGGTGGCAACCTTTTGTGTGGCGGCGTGCGCTCTGAGAGGAACTTTGTATCCCCTGCCGTTGTAGAGAATGTTCCGCATGATACAGACCTTGCCCGAGACGAAGTATTTGGCCCAGTGGTCTGTCTTGAGCGCTACACTGATTTCAAAGAAGCTGTCGAGCTGGTGAACGCGTCCAAGTTTGGACTCCAGGCCGGTGTCTACACAAACAACTGGAACAAGGCGCATTATGCCTTTGACAACATTGAGTGCGGTGGTGTTTGCATCAATTCCGTGCCTTCTGTGCGTATTGATTCTCAGCCCTACGGCGGAGTGAAGGATTCTGGAATCGGTCGGGAGGGACCCAAGTTCGCCATCGAAGACTACACCGAGATTCGCGTGATGGTAATGAAGAATGCGGGAAAGCTTTAGCAGATGACGAGTTGCATACATGTGCTGTACGACAAGTTTGACTAAAATAGGCACTTACTTTTCCAAAAGTTGGGTTTATACTATGCATAGATAGCTGGCTCGAGCAATAAACAACGGTCCCCAAGACAAAGGTGGTTGTGGTTGTGCTGCTTTTCTTTGCTTGAGCGTTCTTTCAGTCCTCCGAGCGAGCCAGTCGTACCGCAAGGGAAAAGCTTCGCCGAACTGAAACAACTCTCAGACAAGTACGGTACCGGATACCGGTACCATTGTGGCCATTCTGATACCATCCAAATTAAACTGAAGAGGCATCCAAGGTAACGGTGAGTGGCTCGGTAAGTGCATTGCTGATAGATGAGGTGGTGGAAAACGTGACTGCTTGCACGAAGAGAAGCTACTAGTACTGGTACCACAGGACTTGCTTGCTTTTCGTAAAGGTATCAAGTGGATAGGGATATGTTCAGAACCAGGTGGACTTGGCTCCTTGCATCTTTCAGTACCCAGGATCCCACCGATGGCTGCCACCTCGAAAGCAAGGCAGCATCAGACAGATCCTGTGGTCTGGGGACGGTTCCTTGCTGGTTGCTGGACAATACCCGGACCACCAAGTGCTGGCGCCCAGTAGTTACCTCGCTGCTTCACACGGCATCTAGCTAGCTAGTAGCTAGTTCTGCACTTCTTCTGTTAGGTGACGATTGGAAATGTCACCTCTGCTGGTGGCGGCTAGTAAGCTGATCTGTGGCTGAGCTGCCCAACTATTTTAGTCGTCGATGGAAAAGGATCTTTCCATGCCCGACAAAGAAAGGAAATTGCACCATGTAGAGGGAATGCATCCGATCTAGCCAGTGGCAATAAGTTTTCTCCCAATTCTCAAAGAACCAAAGAATGGGCTGCTGTCTGCTGTCTGCTGATCTGCTGTTACCGTACTCTGCTACTCTAGCTAGCCAGCCAACAGTGACACTACTAGGACTACTGGTACAGTAGCAGGCTTGGCCGTTTCAATCTATCTCCCAAAATTACGCACTTGTGTCGCGGGTCTCTCAACACGGGCACATCCTGGATTGATTCTCAATCTCAACATCCATTTGTCATTGGCTCGCCGTCAAGAAGGCTCTCCTTTTCCAGGTGGTTCGAAGAAGGCTGCAAACTCCAAAGTCTCCAAGCTGTCGAAACTCAAATTACCAGTGTCAAGTGTCAAGGCAGGGGCGAGCGAGTGCCTGACTACACCGCTACCTTGCTCTTAGCATATTTAATCTTAAACTGGGAATGAATGGTCTTCGATACGCAGTGTACTAATAGTACACTAGCTAGTACTCTTATGATAGCTACATCGGTACGGTATCGTAGTCTACGCTGTACTCTTGCAAGTCTTGCACCTCATGCCCATCCCCAATGCAACTTTCATGCAAGCCTTCAAAGCCCATCAGCCGCCCATCAGAGTTCCTCGGAGCTCCAAAAGTATAACCTACTGTCCACAGAAAGGGAGAAATCGAATGGAACAAATACCTCATTCTGACCAACATCCTTCTGGTCGAGACAACCAACCCTTTTTTAATCTGTCCCAATCTAACAAAAATAATCTGGGCTTAACGTAAAGGGCTGTGCAGTGAGCTGATCTGTTAGCAGATGTGTAAGGCCGAATTAGTGATAAACTCAGAATGACGGCTTGTTCTTTCTGATATCATTTTGCGTTTCACAGAAGATACGGTGTTAAAACAGCTTCGGACAGTTTTGTACAGGTTTCGCATTTCGTCAAGTGCGTGAGTGCATCATAGGATTTTGTACAGAAGCTAGATCTGACGAAGAAACTCGAAAGAAACCCTTAGTAAGCCAGCTGTAAGCCCCTGACTTATAAAAGCTCTTATAAAGCTCTTATGAGCAACTTATGCGAATTTTGACGGATGCCTTCTAAGCGTCCCAGTGACTTTCAGATGGAGCACGAACCAGTGTTCTCGAGGAGGGATACACCGTTCGGTCTAGAGAAAAGCAGCCGTATGGCAAGTGATATATAGTCGAATGGTGGAGAAGGCCAGCCGGTGTGAGCGGTACTCCAGTTCTCAATGGCGCCTTCCTCCTGAAGTTCTTCGTGGCCCTTGCTGTGATCGACCTTTCAAGCCCTCATAAATTCGCTCACAAGCAAAAACCAAACAACAACCCAAACAACAAGATATACCTTTTGAGATGTGTAAGAGAGGACTCAAAACCATGGCAGAAGCGCTCGAGACTTCCAGTCCAGCCACCCTGGCTTTGGCCAAGGCAAACGCTACTACCATGATGAAGAAATCTTCTCCTTTGAAGAGGACAGCTTGGGCCGCCTCTGACTCTCTCCAATCCATGCTTGCCATGAAGCATTTGGAGCTAGTCAAGGCCAAGAAAGCTGTGGTAGAATCGGAAGAAGACAATGTCTCCTTCCCTTCCATTGGATGGAACCTCGATGAGGACCTCACTGCACCCATCGGCAGTGTCAGCCCCATCAATCCTCTGTCCGAAGCCCTTGCCCTCCTCAAGGAGACCGAAGCCCCCCAGCCGCAAGCCAAGCGCCGCCGCATGGGTGAACCTTCAGGCATGGTCCGCTCCAAGGCTATGACGAGCCAACTGTCGTCCCTAGTCCACAGCTGCTCCCACGAGTCCAAGTTCTCTACCCTCAAGCCCCTTCCCAAATTCATGATTGGAAACTGGGGAAGCATCGTCACCGCCCGCGAAGTCACCAGTGATTTGGCCACCTGCTCCCTCAAGACCACATCTGCCTTTGTCGATACCACCAACAGTCTTCTCGCTGTACATGCATAAACACCCCCCAATGAGAGAAGACCGCTGTGAATACTTTTAAACTACAGTACTCTGATGACAATGGCCGGCTGTTGCTCTATCGATCGCCCGACCGACCGAGCCATCAGTTCTACCTGTCGATGGAGGTGGTTGATCCAGGTCCGAACCAGTCCGCCCTTTTGTTTATATTCTTATGGACTGCCAGGACTTGGATTGCTGCCACCATCACAACTCCCTCTTGCCTCCCTTCCGACCTACATTTGCACATATATACCTACCTATCCATCCCTACAGTTTTTCATGTCCTTCATGAAGCCTGGCACGATTAAGGCTGGTTACCGTCGCTGTTTATATTGTTTCTACCAGACGGAACCGCCTATCTTGCCATGCCCTCTACCAACGCTCTCGCCTTGCTGTTGGCTGTGGTGTTTTGCTTCCTTTCTGCTGCACATGCTTGTTTATATTATCTTTCCAAACAGAAGGAAGCATACCCCATGCTAGCATCGATACGAGACAGCTGAACATTTTCAGTAGAGTAACTTCCTCCTTTTTACATAACTATTCGGTCTTCTCTCCAAAATCACGTGTTTTCTTAGATGACTTAGCTAATATGGTATCGAACGAAGGAACACGGAGCTTCTTTTTCCTTGGTTCTGTGGCCAGGAGACGAATAGATCACAACCATGGGCTTGTGTGCTGATCAACAGGGATGTGCAAATCTCCTTGGCCTTGCAAGAGAGTACAACTAGCTACTACCAGGTAGTAGATACATTGCGAGCTGTGCTGAGAAGCTCCTCTGTTCCTGAGAATCCACAAGCCGTCAGCACACTGCTTGCTAGCTAGCTAGCCAGTTCGGAAGCTCCCAATATCCTGTATCCGTCAGTCCAGTTCTTTGCCAGCCTTTCTCGAAAAGAGAAAGGAGGTAGTCTAACCCGTGCGCGAATGATGGCCTACCCGCGAAGATCTCAATGATGCAAAGGCTCCAAAGAGGCCTGCTACCCCTTGGCATGGCGATTGAGAACGATGAAGAACAAGCATGAGGCCGCCTATTTGTGTCGCCTGTGCGGGAGTCCACGATGCATAACCTTTGCAGGCCTGAAACATCCACTTGTGAGGAGGTGGCTGCATGGTACCAAAGAGTTAGCTATCCTATCTCATTCAAACATCAGTCGCCTGTGGATATATAAATTGTCACGTCCAGCCACGAGATCTTGGTTTGAGGCTCCCTCGGATGCAAGCTGACACATGGGGTGTACTCTTGAACAGATGCATCTTGTCTGATTCGAAGCCTTGTGCAGACAATCCTCACCCAGAAGCTCACCCAGGTATGCCAAGTTCTGTGGGGACCAGTCACAGTGGAAGTTGTTTGGAATGGCTGGCATGCACACAGTTGTAGCTAAGTACCCTACTAGCTTAGCTACCCAGTACCTGCTATCGGTACCTCTTTACCAGGTGTAGGCAGCGGTGGACATTTTTGTCATCTTTTAAAATTAGGAAGACCCAAAGAGTGCACAATGTGCACAGACGCAACGGTACGGTATGTACGGTATTTACTCCGAAGGTGGGTAGCCCGGTTACCGAGGACCCAATACGGTAGCACCTTATAAGGGGGTGGCTCAAATCAACTTACTATTTCCCGCACCACTGTTTGCATGGTTTACCACTTTCAACCTTTTCGACCGACTTCAACCAACGTCAAACGCCTTCTTTACCACCTCCTTTACCGCCTTCTTTACCACCTTCTTTGAACCTTCTTTACCACCTCGCGACCATCTTATCTTTCGGGAAAACCCGAAATATGACAATAAGAAGAGTTTGAGGCACCCCCTGCTAGACCATACAGTATGATGCATGATGGTCCACAGATGCATCCCATGGATGCAAACGCTACCTACGGATCCAAAAAGAGGTATAATGAGCAACACAGAGGATGATCGAAACTATTATTATTACCCGTATACAGCTTGATGGTAAAATTATTAGGAACATTGACTGATCGCCGTCCAAGGGATCGCACTACAACATGTAGTAAAGCAGTGAAGATGCCAGCCTCTTCATGGTACTTGCTGCTGATACTCTTTGGGATCCTCCTATCCATTTGGCAGTTGGGAAATCCCACGACACGGTTGCAGAAGTTGCTAGTCGGTGATGTGTCTGCTAAGCAACTACTGAATACTACTACTGGTAGTAGTATGTTCTACAACTACTCTCTGCCAGCGGATCCTCGGCCTTCCGTTCACTTGATGCATGTTGGAAAAGCGGGTGGGACAACACTACGTGACTACGTCATCAAGTGGAAGAATTGTTCCTGGCCTGCCAATATCCAGCGCTGCCGGGAAATTTTCAATGGAGTGGAAGAATCTGCCATTTCCAACTATACCAAGGGCATCACCCACTATGGCAAAACGTTTGGCAAACAGCTCTCTTCCAAGGACATTCTACTCTTTGTTGTCCGCGCTCCCATTGATCGGTTCATCAGCTGGTGGGCGTATACAGTTCCTATCAAGTGTGTCGATGGTGGCAAGTGCAGTAGAAAAGACAAAGTTCTTGAAAAGTTCATCCAAACCTTCTATTTGAAGTGTTTTCCCTCGCTCGAATCCTTCACCCAAGCATTGAACCCCAGTCACAACACTGCCAAGGCACAAAATACTTCTGATTCACTTTTTAGCAACTATACTGCTGCTGCTGCTGCCAATGCTACTACTGACTACTCTGACTGCAACCAACTACTACAGGGGGCATTCCAGACTGTGGGAAAGAGTCATTATGGACACTTGACGGCTGGATACCGATACTACTATCAGGAGGCGGGTGGTCCATCATCCATCAACAACCATACCATAGTCACCATTCGAACCGAATTCTTTTGGAATGATGTGGTCCAATTTGATCTGGCATTGGGAGGACATGGGGACTTTCACACTGTCATGGGAAAGAAAGAAACCCATGGCAGCGAAGCATACTGGACCAAACACAACAACAGCAACAAAGTTATGATTTCTTCTGCCAACATGCCATATGTGTGTTGTGCCCTGTGGCCCGAAATGGTGGTGTATAGAACGTTGGTGGAACAAGCGGTCAACCTACTCCCCCAGCAACGAATCCAAACATATCAAAAGACGTGGAATCAATGCCATGTGCAAAGTTGGGAGGCATTGGAACAAATGTGTGATGGACTAGAAACATCACTCAATTAAGCTCTTGGAGTGATTAATGCTACCGTACCGTAGTGTAGTGTGGACGCACAATATATAATTTTGCTAGTATAGTATAGGATCTGTAGTTGTAAGCTTGTTTTGGCTATCTAGTAGCTAGCTAGTGCATGTAGTGTACGGTACTTCTTTGTTTTCTAAGTAACCAGAGCTGACATGTGTCCTGCGTTCACCAATCGGCCCCAACGTTTGTTTTAACATCTTTGCTGCATTAACTGTATCACGGTCAACATGCATGAGAACCCTAGATGCCGGAAGAAAACCCTGACCATGATGATGAAAGAGCAATCATTGAAAACAGCGCAGCCGCGGCTTATTATTACACTCATTGAATTCCTGACGGAACATATGTTCACTCTTTCTGTTTCATTTTGTTGATGGCTCAGAAGGACGCCTTGGATCGAGGAAGACATATTGTTCTTCTTCTGATCTAACTATCATACACTAAGGATATTATTATAGTCGTTGTCGTCGTCTGAATTGAGCGCATCATCCTTTTGGCTTTCGTTGAATCGAATCCATCGGTCGTTCGTCGTTTGGAGTTGGGTTTGTCTTTGAGATCTCAGGGAGCAAACGGAGACAACGACGGAACAGACGTCATATCACGCTTCCATTTGTTTTGACTAAACAGTACGACGACAGCCACTCTGGAGATCGACTCGACTCGTTCCAACAAACAAACAGCACCAAGATGGCGGATGACATGGCCAGCTTGGCTCGCATGGATTCGTTGGAAGAATATTTCATGCTGAATTCGCCACCGGAATCTCCCCAACAACCGGCTCGAAAGACAGCGCAAGCACCGCCACCAAACAATAATTCCTGGGATGCCTATGGTGGTGCTTATTTTGGAGGCAATGAAATGGCGTCTCAGGGCAACGTGCAATTGTCGACGTTGAATTATTCGGTGGATCGATCCAACGCGGTCGGCCATCGCCTGTTGCCAAGTACCCAACGCGACTTGGATGTCATACTAAAAATGGATGACAATAGTAAGGAATTGAATCTGACGGAACTGTTCCTGCAGAGCAGCCATCGAAGTAGTCTCAATTCCAACTATCAAGCCAAGGGAGCGCTCAAGGGACACGACAATGAACTGCACAAGAAACGATCCAATTCACTCTCGTCGTCGTTTTTGGAAGATGGCACCGAGTCTGCCAATACAAACAACAACAACAACAACAACAACAATACTAATAATACGAATACAGGGGTTGCCAATTCACAAACCAGTCCAATGAACAACAACAAGCCAAGAGAAGGACTCTCACGGGAACCCTCGTTGGATTTTGATCTAGATGTGGAACCCACGCCTCTCTCGGAAATTAGAGAAAAAGCGGAGCAACGCAAATTTCTACGGGAACAACACCAACAACAGCCACAAGGGAATTCGCAAGGCTTGACCCAACAAGAGCTAGACCAACACGAATACAAATTGAACCGCCAACATCGACTCCAACATGGCAGTAGCTACTATCCATATGGAAGATCCTATCAATTGCCCATCCCAACCATGCCACCCATTTCACCCACGCAACCAAATAATACGGAACAACAACAGCCGCTTGCCGATCCCGTCGCTACGGCTGCTGCACTGGCGTCGGCACAGCAAACGCCGGTGGACAACAGTGGACGCTCCAGCGGTCCTCCACCACACTCTCCAGCGCCATCTCATGCCAGCAGTCATGCTTCGTCGTCGTGGCATACGAATAATCAACCGCACTCTCGTCCAGAAAGCCGAAACAGCACAACGAGTCACGGCTCGTATCATCACCATCGGCACAGTAGTAGTAGCCATCAATCACATTCCCCGTCCACGGCACCGCAGACAGCTCCTCCACAAGCGCCACCACCGATCCCGTATCCACCGCCTCATTCCTATCCACCTCCACAGCATCATCATACTCATCACCACACGACAACTCATCATAATCATCCTGGTACCACAGCACCTCCTCAACCGCCACATCATCTCACGACTCCACTGGCATCGGGACACCCTCCTCATCCGGGGCATAAAATTGTGGGTCCGTACACGACGGCACAACAAGAAGGAAACAACGCCCCTCTGGGGAATAGACGGAGAACATCGGCCGGTAATAACAGCAAAAGTGCACCCGCTCCAGCACCTTCGTATTTGCCTCGTCGTGGTGAACACATGTCACGGGAGGCATCGGCAGCACATGCGACACCCAAGGGAGTGCTGGCATCGGCAACCAAACAGCGCAGAGGATACAGTGGATTCCATAAACCGGCGACTTCACAAACCACCAATACGTATCATCATCCTTTGCCATCCAAGTTTCCAAACTACACCAACACTGCCCCACCAAGTACTAATGCTACTTCTACTACGTATGTCGCCGCCAAAAAGACGATACCACCGACGATCACTCTCGCAGCAGCAGCAACAACAACAACAGCAGCAGCAGCAACCACAAAACCTGCTCCCAAACCAGCGTCCTACGCCAATAACGGTCATCTCCATCGACCACCCGCACCTGCTCCTCCTCCTGCTGTCGTCACTCATAATAATAATAATCACCCACAGACAGCAGACAGTGCCTACGAACGGAAAAAACAGAGAGCCAAAGATGCTCGCGTCAAATTGAATGAATCCATTGAACGATTGCATGTCTCCATGGGGCTTGCGGGAACGGAATCAAAGAAACGGGCGGCGCAGCTTCGAGATTTCATGAAGCATGCTGGGCGAGAAAACGAAAGCAGCACCGACCATCAAGCCTTTGAGCTGATGGATAGCTGTGTCAAGACAGCAGAAACGGCAAAGAAATGGGACAGACCCAATTTTGTAGGGTCGGCTGCCACAATGATACAGTGTTTGAACTCGCAATGCGAGATACTTATGAAAGAGCTGCTTGAGTACTCTTCCTTGGACTCTTCCTTAGGTGTCGTGAGGCCGGGACGACCCGCGCCACCGCCCCTGCCAGAAGAGCAGCAGCAGCAGCAGCAATCCGCGCCTGAAAACGGGGGAAAGAGATCAAACGAAAACGACACACCAGAGGATCCAGCAGCGAAACGGATACGGCGGGATTCTGTGGAAGAAGAGAAGAAAGAGGCAAGCGGCTCTGCGACGAATGTCGGGAGCAACAGCCCGGTAAGTCCAGAGTCTGCAACAGCCATGACGGTGTATTCCCCTTCAGACGGTCGTCCTCCATTTCGGCTTGGTGATTCCGTCATGGGTCTCATTGCTTCATTCTTAGATCCAGGTTCCTTGATTCAATGCATGGGTGTGTGCAAGGGCTGGAAGGACCATGAACGGAGCTTTGCCAAGAACGCAACGTGGGTAAACGTTTGCATTCAAAGATTTGGATTTTCCAATGTCCGTCAGTGGCAGGAGAAACATGCTGAAGATGAGGAAGATGATCACGACGAGAGTGGTGGGACGGAGGAAAACGGACAGAGTGGTGATTTCGTTGAAAACACGGGAATGAAGATGTATCGAGCAATGGACAAGCAGTGCATCATGCCTTGGCTTCACGATGGCAAGAATCTTGTATTGCTAGGGAACGCCAGACTTCCGCAAGTTGCTGCTTGGATGTTCTTGGTTGATCGCTCCAATAAAGAGACGATGAGATCCGTCAAACGAAACCCGAATGCGGAATCATCTTCCAGACAAACGGGAGTCTACACATCGCTCCCGGTGGTTGAACTAAGGATTGTACTTCAGAACACGGGTGGCTACCACGCGAAAAGGGGAACGTCAACGGGAAGCACGAAGAACAGAGCGATGACAATTGTCATGAATAACCAACGGCTCGTTGTGGATGCCTCAACTAGGAGAAGAGGCGAGGAATTGTTGGAGATTGATTGGGACGACAGGTTTTCAAAAAGGATTCTTAATCCGGATGGGTCCAACTATGTGATGCGTGCCGATTCAAAGCAGCAATCTGGAGACGAGCTGGCAATTCTGAACCTTTTTGATACGGTCGTAGTCGACGCTTTCATTCATGCACGACGATGCTCAACAACCACCAAGTTCAGACACAGAAGCAAGTTCCTGACGATCTTGGTGACGGTGAACGGCACAACACAGCCTCTGGTCATTCCATTCGCAGACAATCCACAGGGGGCTTCCGTGGGGTCTTTCAGTTCCCATTCATAGGTGGGCTAGCTTATAATCGGGATCAAGCAACCATCCAACACGTTCTCTCTGCTGGGTTTTCGCTATCGGTTTTGCTACTGCAGGGATAAACTCTAGCTAGCATAGAGCAACGATACAACGGTTTGCCTGTTCGACGTACTGCTTTCGTGTGCTTAGAGTACACCGAAGACGGGGATCGAGTCATTAGCCTGCCTAGCGAACTCCCGGACAACACTGGAATATGTGCATCACAAAGTATTTGTCCCTTGGCTGGAATCGTTGGATTGTACGATTCTGATTCCTGGCTCGCCATGAGGGCTCAATGTGCTGTCCGATTCTCGGGCATAGAGTGGTGTATGTGCATCAGAAAGCTAGGAGGTATTGCTTGGGGATTGGCTGGGCGTCACAGCTAGAGGGCGATGAGCTTGGAGGAGCCCAAGGAGCAATGCTTGGATAGCTACTAGGTGCGCCGCTTGGACTGGAGCTGGGCCTACTGCTTGCCCTGAGCTGGGGCTGGATGCTTGGGCCCTTACTTGGTCCAGCACTTGGGCTCGTTGTTGGTGCAAAACTGGGGCTCTCACTGGGCGCCAAGCTGATTGTAACTTTCCAAACTACACATCACTGCCCGGCCAAGTACTACTACCACTACTACTACCAAGTATGTCACCGGCAAAAAGACGATACCACGGACGATCACCCATGCAACAACTGCAGCAACCACAAAACCTGCTCCCAAACCAGCTGCCTGAGCCCATAATGGTCAGTACCATCGACCACCGGCACCTTCGGCTGCTCCTCCCGCTGTCACTCATTATCACCCACAGACAGACAGTGCCATCGAAGCGGCCCAACTTCGAGATTTCATGAAGCATGCCCGCCCAGAAAACTAAAGCAGCCCAGACCAAAAGCCTTTGAGCTGGTGGATAGCTGTGTCAAGAGAGCGGAAACAGCAAAGAAATGACAGACCTAATTTCCTAGGGTTGGCAGCGACAACGATACAGTGTTTGAACTCGCAATGCGAAATATTAATGAAAGAATTGCTCAAGTACCATTTGGTATTGTGCCCGTCGTGAGGCCTGGGCAACCCGCGCCACCGCCTTTGCCAGAAGAGATTGTATGGAACGTGTCTCGCCATGAGGGCTCAAGCTGCTGTTCGATTCTCGGGAATGTGCGGTACTGGTGTCGTTAGTACTCTTGCTGTGACGCCCCCCTTAGTGCGCACTCCCCTGCAAGACCCCGCAGAATCGTACTGTAGCTCCACTGCATTGTCGGTGGTCGTTGCCTTCCGGAGCAACGGTGGGCAACGTCGACCGTATCGGCAAGTGCAGCTACTAGGAATTCGTCGCGACGGCGTTTTTGACGTTGTCGGCATCGCTTCGCTTCATCAATTCTTCCTGAAAAGTCAACAGCAAATCTCCAGTATCCGACACCATGGATGCAAATGCCGTCGTCAACTCAAATCCAAGGACACGGGTTGGTGAATGGAACGCGAAAACAAACCCCGTAGTGTCGAAGTACACTAAAGCTTCGCTGCTCCCCAAGGCTACCCATCCTCGTATGGCTTCGCCTTGCCGAGTACGCCGCCATCCCAAAACACACCAAAGACCCAGCGCGTAGCCGTCCATGACATGCGTCGGAACTGTGAAAGTGCTCCTCGAGTATCGCGCATCTCGAAATCGATGCTTCATGTTATGGACGACTGTGTCGTTGACAAACGCTTCCTTTTGGATCTTTTGAACTGGATCCTGAAATGCCTGGGACGAAGTTGTTTTGTTGAGTAGTTGTTGCACACTTTCGAAGGCCAAGACCCGTTGCCTCGTTTTCGGCGAAAGACCCCCCAATGTCAAAGTTGCTCCGATGAGCATTAAGTCTTCCAGCGGCCCAACAAAACCGCGAGCGGCATAGGGTGGATAGATCGTGTCCACGTCAAACTTCCCTACAATTCCCATCGGTTCCAACACGTAGTGGTTGATGGCGTAGGTAAAGTTCAGACCGGAACATGCCTTTTCGACGGCCGCGGGCACATCTTTCCATGGGTCGTTGTCGTAGTGGAAACGCTGGTCAGCACCGGCTGTATTTGATAATATGTTTCGCCATGTTGGAGTGCTGCTAGACTCCTGTCCAGTTGGTACGCGGTCGTCCAGACTCATGAGCCCCAACTCTTGAAGTCGAAGAAGCAGCATGGTGACTAGCACCTTGGTGATGCAACGGAATACTGCAGAATCCTCATCTGACGACATGGATCTCTTTGCTTGCACATCCCCTTCGAACCAAACTTCCTGTCGATTGTCCCAGTCTGACAGATGAGTGAATCCCCAATGGGATATGTATTTTGACCAAGTTGGGCGTGTTGTCGCGTTAGAGTTCATGGTGTCTTGCAAGCGAGATGGTATGATGGTTTCCTTCAACTGGGACTCAATAGCAGTGGCAAAGGACTCGAATCCGGATGGTAAGGGAGAAAAATCTGCAGCCATGGGTATCCGCCATGGATGCGCGATGAATTCAAAGCCTTCTTCGATGCATTCAATGTGCTTCATTTGCCAAAAGGTACGATTTATGGATGTTGACTGTCCTGGGGTCGGGACTTCGCATATTACTTTTGCAGCAGGAAGCGACCTCTTCTTTTGCGACGGAAACCGTCCAACGTTGACCGAAACCGCGTTCTTGGATTGGAAGACAGACCAAGAAATTGCCATATTCCGGTCATTCATGTGGATGTAGCAACCCAGCACATTCTTATTGCCAAAGCCAACCTGGTTATGTAGCCAATCCAAAAGCTGTTTGCAGGCAATCGTTGATGGAGCTGTCAAGTAGTAAGGCAGATCCCTCAGCTTCTTTTCCGACCTCAGCGCCCTCACTGCAAAGTCTGGAAGGACGTGGGGAATCACCAGCTTATCTCTTGTGTTCTTGATGTAGTGAAATCGAACCGAGACTTGCCCATTTGCCAATAGAACGTCGTCCCACTCCTGAAAGGTGTCGGCAATCCGCTCAGCCTGTTCAATTTGCAGCTTTGGCGACGGACCCTTCAAGTTGTACGTGACTTCCCTGTCAATCGAATAAATGATAAAGTCATCCATTTTGGCAATCTTTTCCGTTTGGCATTGAAGAACAAGGTACGGATTGTCGTACAGCCATTTTTTAATGGTCTTTTCCGAAAGGCATGGAATGGTCCAGTTTTTAATCTCCTTAGCCGTTGCGTTTGAGACTCGCCTTGCAAGGTTATTCCCTTGGAACGGCAACGCGGTAAACTGTTCATCACTGTAAGTTACAAACAACTCTTGATCCGACGAGATGGTAAGATCGATTGTTTGAACTAGAGCACCAACATAGTGCGATTGGTTGGTAGCTTTTCGAGAATACAACGTTGAAAACTGCCAAAAGAGTCCTCCATCGGAAGCTACCCACTCAATGGGCCGATCCATCAGAAGGAACTGTCTGGCTTCTACAAGACTATGCCAGTAGGATTCCAATACATGTTGATAAGCGGATGGAGTTGATTGATTTTCTGCTGGCGTTTTCTGAGGAAAAACCAAGGAGACGTTACCGCCAACCGCCAAGGTTGTGGGTGCAAAATGGGTTGTCGGGTGCAGCCAAAGTCCCAAGCCGGGGCTGATTTGGTGCACATGAGCTGCCGCGTATTGGTTCATCATTTGGATGGTGGAACTCGAGTGGCGCGGATAGCCTCGCACGATCCGAATTCGCTTGCTTGTATTCTTCGTGGCATTGAGCAGTGCAAAATCGAGCTCTGGCTCCACCAGAGTGACACACGTGCCGGATCCATCGGATAGTTTCTTCTGGCATGTTCGATCTTGCTCGTGCACGTACTGAGTTGTATGGAGAATGGCACCAGGATGGAACAGGAATTGTATGGATGGATTTGAAACCAGCAAGACGTGTCGTAACTTGGTTGTTTGGAGTGCCTGAACTTGACACTTGATAGCATCGTCCCCATCCTTGACATCACCTACGGGTATTGCTGTCGATGGTGCCATCGTCAATAGATTGATGACTCTTACAAAGGGGTAGAGCTCCAGTCGGGCCTGTAGATGATAACTGAGGATACCCATGTGATACAGTTCCACTACTGCACCAGGAGAGGAGGAGGAAACTTTCCATTGATCCTCCATGGTCTTGACAAGAACAAGCCCATCAGCCATGGACTGTCGGCTTGTTAGACACGTCACAATCCCACGGACGACTTGCTTTGTTGTAGTTGTTGTACTGTTGGCGTTTTGAACAATGAGGCAGTTCTGATTGGCCATGGCATTGGCCATGCGCGAGGCTTCAAATTCGTTTCGTTGCTGATCTTTTCGATCGTAGTTGTCACCATAGGTTGCTTGCAACACTAAATGATAGGGCATGGGTACTCGTACCGAAAGAGAGGATCCCCACGGCCGAGATTCAATGCTCTCAAATCGTTTGGGGCATACTACATGGTAGTGTTCATGTCGAAAGCCATTGACAAAGTACTGGATTTCGTGTTGCACCACATCCGTGGCCACCAACTCGACCTCAACGTCCTCTTTTCGATAGACCCTCGCACCTCCCAAGGATCCCACGGACCGGGTCCCGTCGCCTCCTGGATAATCTTTGTGCAAGACAAACCCAGCCACCTCGAATTCTTGGTGGAGCATTTGCAAATTGTCGTCATTGGCCATCCAGGATGTCGAAACTGCCAAGTCAATATCTGAATCGAGCCATCCAATGTTGCTTGGGTTGTCATCGTGGATCCTGGCAAATCCCAACAAGGATCCTGCCATGAGAAAGTAATCTACCTGGTTTTCATGTAGAATGCCAATGACTTCGTTGAAAACTGTCCATACTAAAAATTCTTGACCTGTGTATCGAACCGAGGCGTGCTCATCCGTCATTTCCTCATTTGTCTTTGTTGTTGTTGTGGGCTCTAATTCCACTGAATTCATATTATTTGTGGAGAGCTTGTTTGGTTTTGAGGCTGAATCCATCCCATTATTCTTGGTAGTCATACTGGGAGCAGTATCCTCGCGAGGCCGCTCCTTCCTATCTCCTTTGATTGCATTGGTAATCTTCCTGCTCTGCTTACTGGCTGCTTGATCTTTTTCCAACCTGTCGTTTCTTGCTGTTGATTTTATGCCACCGCTGCTAGTCCGCCTTTGCTCCTGATCGTTGTCCAACTTTTTCCAGGCCAAATTCTTCAGGACAGGTATCTTGTCGTTTCCTTCTTTTCGGACTTGCTGTTTTTGTGGTACTTGAGAAGTCTTCGTGGTGGCCACCATAGTTTGTTTGTCCATGGTTGTTTCCTGGGAACTCCTTTTGGGACGAATGACGGGAGCATCGCTATGATGAGAACCATGATGTTCTTTTGGACTCAAGGTATTCATTACGGAGGAGTGCTGCTGGAGATTCCAAAAAAGTGGAACCGTCAGTGCCAGGGAACTGAACACCACAGTGAGAACATACTTGATCTTGCGAAACCACCGAGCCATTGTCATCAATAGCTAGCTAGTTAGCTAGGCTCTATGCTCTACTGTATGTTACTTTCTCCACAAACTCCTGGAAGAATGATGGACAAGATTTGACTACATGTAGAAGAAATAAAAACGGAAGAGGGTACGAATCGAATCGAATCGAATCCAAGAAAAAAGAAAAAAGATCCTTGCAACTCAAACTAGCTGGCTGAGCTGCTAAGGATGCCGCACTCTGTTCCTTGCCTTCGCTGCGTGGACGTCCGGACGCGACTGAACTGGGCAGAAGAAAAAACTACATGTAGCGGTGGTACCGGTAGCCCAGCGTCTACGAGCGTGGACGATAGTAGCTAGTATTGCTGCAGCGGAGCCATTGCAAACACACAACGAGGACCTTCAGATACTCTGGCTTTTATAAAAACGAAAGATGATGAATCGTACGCTGCCTGCATCCGTTCACCACGAGTACAAGCGGGAGCACAGACGCTGCGGCTGATGATGCTGTTGTCTCTGGGAACCCTGATGGCAACTTAGCGAGCTCTAATCAGACACCAGAGCTACAAGATGCCATGCGCAAACTCCGTGATAATAATTTCAACCCAGCGAACTTGCCTGCAGCAAGAGAGGCTCCCTTATGGGGAGAACTCAGATCTCCTTATAATCTCTCATTGGAGGAGCTGTTGGTTCTCAAGAACTTTCGTTGCTCCGACGTCCCACAGCCTCGTGGTGTCTTGCCACGAATCGAGAGCGACGCTGTCTACAAGGCGACCGACGAACAGATCCGTGCAAAGCTCACTATCTCCAACGTAAGAGGTGCCCATCGGTACAGTATGTAATGGATGCAGAGTTGTTAGTAGACTCTGGAGCAAACACGGAATTGAAACTTCCTGCACGAAAGGTTCGACAGCTTGGCTGTTGGCCTTGAAATCCGTGGCACTCAGCGTTGCCGTGGCTCCATGAATGATGTTTGCCATATGCATGTATTCTCTACTGTCCTTGTCCAAGCCACATTCACCAGAGGAACTGTCCAGCAGATAATTCAGGCCGACCTGGTTGTCAAATGTGGCAAAAACGAGTATGACGCGTTGAGTAACGTTCAACCTGGCCCATTGGTTTTCGCAACACATGACCACCCGATTACAGATGCAACCCCTAACAGCGATGATGGGACCAGCCAGATCACGGTGGTACAGGTCTATCCGACCAGGCACCGTCCACATAGTGCTCCTCTCCAACAAGCTGTCATGGAATGAAGAAACTTCGCTTGCATCTAAACGGTGAACGGCAGCAGTTGGAAATTGAAGAAGATGAAGTGTTGAATGAACATTGATAGAAATTTGGTGACGGATTAGGCCCACACACCCTTGTCGTTGCAGCAGCTGCCAGTCACTTTCCGCAGCAGCGCCACCAAAGACAATCACTATTACCTACTGAGTGGAAAAGCTGTAAAGATCTATACGAAAAACCTGTTCACATTCTATACTTCCAGTTCGTCATCAAATACATCGTCTGCGAAAGAATATGCACCTGTGTAAGCCCTCTGCCCCCCAACCACAACAGATCCCTTACTCTGAATGTTCTCCACAGTTCCAGGAGAAGCTCCATCAACCCCAATTTCTGCTGCTGTCTTTGGGTCCGTCTGTTGACGTCCCTCGAAAACACCGTTTGAAGTTCGGTATGAACTGACGCTTCCAGTTCTGGTCATTGCTGACTTGGGGTTCACCCAGTAGGTTGTCATGAGCCCCTTTCCCTTGGCAGTGATCTTATCGTCTCGAAGGGTTAGCCAATCTTCCTTTCCATGCTTCCTTAGTTCATTGGCAGTAGACTCTGATACATGGATTCTTCAGAGGAAAGCATATTCTATAGTCACTGGGAGTGATACCGTAGGACATGGTACATATTCGTACATACACACTAAGCTAGTACAAGTCTACACGCGCTATGAACCATGTACACTGGCATCACTATTTTTCTTAAAGCTAAGGGCTAAAAAGGGGGTAAAATTCGCAAAATTCGCAAAGTCAAGAAGTGGCCAAAATGGCCAAGTTAGATGGCCTCAGCACAGAGCTGGGGATCAATGCGGAATCCCACAGCTTTGACATAGGGGTTGCGCTGATCCTTGCCATCAGCAATGATCCTGTCAATGATTCTGGTAACCCTGCCATCACCCTGGTAAACGCGCAAGATCTTGGCATTGACAGCTTGGATGTTGTTACCAGCATTCACCAGGTAGGCTTGTAGCTTCCAGACCTTGCTGCGCCTGTAGTACTTCTGCTTGATCCCAAGCATGCGGTTGTTCTTCTCCAAGGTGGTGAAGGACTTGGCAGCCTTGTTGTCGCCAATGCCAAAAATGAACTCCTCCCAAAGCTCCATCAAACTCCTAGGGCGCTCAATCAACCTAGCACTTGGATCAATCGTGCCCAACCTAGGAGCCACCGCATCAGCCTTGCTCGCTCCAACTGTAGATTCGGCAGCATGATTGCGGCGCCTAGCCTGCTCTTGTGGATCACCGCGCACAAAGGCCTGCCCAATAGTCCCACCATACCTGCGCTGATTGTTGTTGACACGAGCAAACTGCTGCTGGCACCATTGACGATGGTTTTCTTGGTTGTTCTGCATGGTGTCGAATCGTTGCGTCATGTTCTTCTCGATGTTGGAGAGGAAAGCCAAAATAGTAGACTGGACCACCACTACCACCACTACTACCAGCAGTCGAAGATCCGACACCTCATTCCCACTTGTCAAATCCACAACTCGACCACCAGCAGCCGCCGCAGTGTTGGGAGTGGTCATACCGCGTTGTTGCCTTGAAGGTGTTGTCGTGTCTTGGTCAAGTTGACTGACGCTCTCAAAGATCTCAAGATGCCCGTTGATATTGGCAATCACCAAGCCAATTTTCTCCACAGGATTCTTGCTTTGTCCGCCATACTTCTGCTCAAACCGGAAACGCAGAGAGGCATCGGAACCCTCAGGCATCATTGAGCGTGCTTGAGGATCGAATGCACACCAAAGCCTAGCCAACGCCATGACTCTGCAGAACCTGAGATCATTGCCGTACCTCTTGCGAATGTTGGGAATGCAGTGATGAAACAAAAAGTCGTCAGAAATAGCAAGGTCCTTTCGAACCGCATACTTGATCGGACCACCCTCACACAAACAGCCAGCCACAAAAGCATCCGTGAACTCGTCATTCGGGTCTTCATACCGCATCCCCATGACACTTCCAGACTTTTCTCCAACCCAGCGTCCGCGGAACTCTCCTTGGACACGAGTGGCACCCTTGCGTCTGGCTCGGGTAGCAGCATACTTGCGAAGTGAGTGAGTGCCCAATCCCTTTCGGTCATCTTCATCTCTTCTCTT